ACGGCACGCAAAACAACACAAGAGAACAATGGGAACAAGACATTTCATCGGCTTCTATCATGCCGAAAAGTACAAGCGCGAAGAATCACGCACAAGGAAACAAAAATCATGAAAAACGACTAAGTATAACCAGAGATACGGCCATTTTAACCACTAGACACATAAAAAGGCAGTCACACATCACAACTACAAGCCATCACAGCACAAACATAAAAAACACCACGGCACGCTCACATACAACAAGAGACAGCGTCGGGTTGAAAAGGCAACCGACCACAGAAAGAAAAGTCATCATACAAAGGACTTTACAAAAATTCAGCAAAAATACCACACAAATACAGTCAAAATCAAAGTAAAATTAAAACAAAAATACAAGTCAACCCTTGGTGGCCGCCAACGCCTTGGGGAGCTCACCCTTGGTGAAGGACATGGTTGGGGAGCTCACAGCCGTGGCTGGTGCCAGTGTAGACGTGGAGGCGGGTGTTGAAGCAATGTACGGGGTCAGCCCGGGCGGTACCAAGAGGTCGCGCACGGCCTGAACCTCAGAATTACCAATCACGGCACGAGCCTTGTCGGCATCAAATGCTTTGGCAATCTGACCTCGGTTCAGACGGTGCGTGACGTGGTTTGCCCAGGCTTCTTCCGCCAGGTCCGGGTCGCGGACGAGCGACCTGAGGCTCTGGCCGACTGCGTCGTTCGGGTGGGCGCCCGCGCCGGCCTCGCCGGCTCTGCTTGCGCGCGAATGCCTTGCGCATGGCGTCCACGATCCGACCTAGTTGCCCCGTAACAAGCCAACGAAGACGATCGTGAAACATATTGCGCAGGTCGTCAATCGTAGACAGTGCGGTCGAAGGGGTGGACAAGAACATGCTAGGTATTAGAGGCACAATCTGAGACGGTATACTTTACCACGTTGTGTGTCCTCTGGTACTTGATGTTGTCCCACCTAGTTGTGTAACATCTTGCTGTACCATCTTGTTGTGGCATCTGTTGGTCCCAACAGATTGCTGATATCGCTTCCACCTGTCTTCAGTGTGATAGTCCATTCTCTGTCTCCACTGTGTGTGTGTTTCCACCTGCTATAAATGGGAGCGATCTCCCTGGACGGTACCATTTTCTTCTTGACCTCGGTCGTTCCACTTCCCTCCTTCTGTCTTGTTCTGTCTTGTTCCTTCGCCTTGCTTCAATCCATGTTCTCGTGTACACTTCGACTGGTTGGATACCTCTGTGACAATCGCCTTGTCCACACACATTACACTGTACTGGACATATACCTTTAATACTAGGCAAGGCCAAAATCAAAGCCCAGCACATCTCTCGCTCTTCAGCGGTATAGTCCGAGTGGACGGCAGACCAATATAAATTATAAAGACCAATACAGCTGGCTCAAGGTGGCAGCCATCAGCTTGGTCTCACGTGTTTATTTTCTTGTAACTTTTGTTGTATTTTGGTGTCTGTCATCGGTCGAATGTTCAATCTGACGCTGTGTCTTGTTGTATGTGAGCGTGCCGTGGTGCTCTTTGTGTTCGTGCTGTGATGGCTTGTAGTTGTGCTGGTTGACTGCCGCTTTGGATGTCTTGGATTCGGAAATGACCAGCTTTGGATGTCTTGGATTCGGAAATGACCATATCTCCGGGTAAATTTGGTCATTTTTTGTGATGAATTTTTTTTTTTTCTTGTGCGTAATTCTTTGCGTTTGTACTTCTCGGCATGATGGAAGCTGATGAAGATAAAGGGATACATTAGGTGTTTGAACCTCATGAAGATGTCTTGTTCTCCTGTGTTGTTTTTTTTGCGTGCCGTAGTGATTTTGATGTCGCGGGGTCGCACGGCTTGGCTTCCCGCTCTGAGGTGCAAACACATTATTTTTAATTCATTGACATGTTATCTAGTTCTGCTAGCGTCAAATCCGTGCTTCAGACGTTCTGGGGCCTGATAAGTTTTGCTGTGAAAGTATACACAGAATGCGCGGTTGATGGGTTGAATTGGTGGTTCACGTCAACTTCAACGTTGAACCGAAGTTGGCCCTGTTTTCATTGGCCACAATCATTTACATGAGTGCTTGAATTTGCTTTGCAGCCTCAGATATCTTGCCTGCCGTATTGCGCACTTTGCTGAGCGCAGCCGTCACGTTCAATGACATTGCAGCAGCGCACGCCACTTCTGAGTCATGAACAACAGTGCCGAGAGCCACCAATAGGCGATACGTTGCTTCTTCGGGAAAATTTGGCATACTCAACGCCTAGGTGCAAGGCAACCGATCAGGTGATGCGAGCGAATTATAAGACGAATGTCACAAGCAAAGGTATGTCGGTACACGCACGTTGATGATAACTTTCAGAGTGCCAAACTCAACTGCCGCCACTCGATCATTTTGAACATCTTGGTGCTTGAGCAGAATGGCAGTACTATAGTCAGCAGCAATACACCGTTTAGTGTTTTTGACGGCAGATTTATGTTTTGAAACTATAGACACAGGATCATTGCGTCTGCACGAACTTGTACAAGACAGTCGACAATGGAAGCGGAATCGAAGCAGGCAGAGCTTCGCTCAAAAGAGTATCGGTGATGCTCAGAAACTAGGTATGGCCAGATCAAAATTCATTGTACAATGAGCACTGCTTATGACGAGTTCACGCATCCTGTGTTTCTCTGAAGAGCGCGAGAATGCAGCGGGTGATGAGTCACGACGCACCTGATCCAGGAATGGAAGAGCCAGAGCAGGCGTATCGGACAGCGCAGGCGCGGCATTGGCCACGAGGCGCAATATCAACATGACCACTGCCTTGTGCCCTGTAGCAACAAATCGCGGTGCAAAATGGCAAATCTTCTCAAAAGCCTGGGATTCAGAGTCAGCCTGAGCCACTGCTGCAGGCGAGAGTGCGGCTAAGCGAAGAAAGTCTAAGACTGGAACCACGTCATCAAGAGGCCATTCAAGTGCTGTTGATAGGGCACCAATGCTTCGAGCAAGTGCTTCTGTGGAAGGGGTATGCTGCTTGCAAAATGTTGACTCGATGTGCTGCAGCTCACTGGCAGCTATGGCAGTCAAGCCGTCGCTACTGTGTTGAGCATTGATAGCACCTGAAACAATGCAACATGTGCAGGTTAGATGAAGTGAGCGGTGAACGGATTCCAAAGATACTCGGTACTCAACTCACTCAGTTTTTCAAAAGCCTTTGTCACATTTGCATTAACAAAGGTGATGTAGTCCGACTGGCCCAGTGCAAACCGAATTTAGAAATCACCAAAAGTGCAAAAGTCTCGTCGTAATGAGGAGGGCGGCACTCACGGCTGGAAAATGTGAAGTCGCAGTGGTGCGACTCTTTGTGAAGGGATCCGGGTTGCCCGAGTGTCCGGCTTCACCGAGGGTTGGAACCTTTGTACCCACTCGAATAAGGGCTAAGCGTTGGGTGCATAAAATATGGAGATTTCCAACTACAAACGCACCTGGCAATTCTGCATGATGAACTGTGCAATCTGATCCAAAAAACGTTGCTCCAATTGGTGCTTGTGAATGAAGCTGAGGCATGAACGCCATGCATGAGATCTCGCGACAAGCACAGCAAAGACGTTGTGGGCCATCGTCTTGCTTTGACTTCTAATGATATGCATACCTCTGTGCGGCTTCATATGGGTTGGTGTCGCGATTATACTCCAGTTTGAGCATGCGGCCATCCAGCTCCACGTCAAAGGTGAAGTCAGCTTTCTTGGCATCCACAGCCTGCAAAAGTCCTCGCAGCGGTAAAATAAAAGGTCCATGGATACTTGAGCAACAGAAAAGCTTTTTTGAGTCAGAACTTAGATCAAAGCAAGGACACCTCAGCAGACCCACCGTGCCCGTTAATTGCCAGGCACCATTCGCCCACTTAAAAATAGAAGAAGAAAAAACGACGGGAAATAAGGCTGAGAGCAATTGGCAAGCTGGAAAAACGGCGGTGCATAAGTCAGGTACACGCACTGAATAAACTTCGACTGTGCCTTTGTGGTTAACAAGGATGGTTTGGCCATCACTTGAGCCTGGCTTTTGCAAAGCTGCGCGAGATGGAAGATCTTGCTTGTTTAGATCCCCGACCTATATTCAGGATGACACGTATCAAGAGAAAAAAAAAAGGTGGCATACGCCAATGAAGATAAGAATGTAAAACAGCAAACCAACAAATCGCAAGGGTTCACCTCGGAGGTTGTCTTACATTCTGCTGTGCACGACTTGCCTCCACTGCAAGCACAAGTTCTTCATAAGCCACGAGCTCCTGCACACGTTTTTATTCATCGCAAGGGTGACAAAGCGACTTCATATTAAGAGAGCACAATATCATTAAACTCAAGAGGGAAAAGCATACTCACTTCTGGCGAAGCTGCCTCCGCCGGCAAGCTGGAAAAGATGCGCGCGACACCATCATCGCCGGCAGCCACGATGCGCAGACCGTCCGGTCTGGAAAAAGAGATGGTGGTGAAGTGAATATCAATCGGCAAGCAACACTGGCCAAACAGATACCCTGCAGTTCAAACGAACGTTGCGCTGACACTCCACAATGAACCGCAGGGTGTGCCAATCGCTTGAAGAGGTTGTTCCTGCGAGGTTTGCCAGATCTACAATTGATGGCAGCAAAAGCACAAAGGGACCGAAAACAATGCATGACTTGAAGAATAGAGGCCCAGAGAACAAGACCATAAATAACCACGCCATGGGTTGTTGAGTGTTGCCCTAGAGCAGATGCTTCCTTACGCGAAGCGTGCCGTCCTCGCCACATGTAGCAAACGACCCGTTTTTCATGGGAGCCACGCTGTATAAAAAGCTCTACGCCATGAGACCCAATATAAAGAGGCCAAAGCGAGGCATGATATAGAGGTCAAAGATGATCGAGTACAGAACAACGGACAAGAGGACGCGGCGTCTGAGTGCCCTTCGCATGAAAGACTGCGCCATGTCACCAAGCTGACGGCAAAGATACTCAGAGCACCCTGACCTCAGAAGCCTTGTAGGACTGCATCAGCGTTCCATCGGCGGTCCAGACGTGACAAGCACCATCGTTTCCGCAGCTGATAAAAAGGCCCAAATCAGGCAGCACGGCCTATGCATGGGGGCGAAGTGGTTTAAAACTATCAAGGTCGCGAGATCTAAATCGTTTCATGCGATAAACCAACACACACACACACACACACACACACACACACACACACACACACACACACACACACACACACACACACACACACACACACACACACACTACTCACTCGCAGAACATGGAAGGGCTGTAAACACACACTACTCACTCGCAGAACATGGAAGGACTGTAAACACACTATTGTTCAAATGTTGCTACTGACCAGTTGACGAACAACGTCCGTATGTGTACTGAGCGTTGAAAAGCATTGACCATCACGCCAAAGCTTGATGGTGCGATCGCCCGAGGCGCTGGCTACAGTGCTATTTGGCAAAGCTACCGCACTGGCCAAGCAATCCAATAACGTTGGATTGGGTGAGATAGAGGAGCAGAGATGGTGAAGTAACATTGTCAAGTCTAGCAAAATCTCTGGCACGTACTCCCAAACAGCAGCCGCATGCCCCTCCAAAACTTGAATGAGCTGTCCATCGTACCCAAACTCGCGAATTTTTCTGTTCTCCAGAATACACACAGGCAGGTGTGCGGTTAAAACGTGCGTGTATGCAAAGAGGGAAGGTGCGCGAGCGTCGTATAGCACTTGTAATCTGATCAAACAGTGATTGGGTCGCTCATCAGCCAAATAGCTCGTACCCATCCCAAGAGCTGGTCAAGAAGGAGGTTGGCCCGCTTTGGCGGATGCTGCACACACAATCCGTGTGGGCGCGCTAACATGTTGAATGGACAAATGCGTGGTGAGAAATTGAGCCAGCAGAGTCGCTCTCTGTCTTTCTGTCTCTCTGGCTGTCTATCACTCTCTGAACCACACACACACACACACCTCTCTCTCTCTCTCTCTCTCTCTCTCTCTCTCTCTCTCTCTCTCTCTCTCTCTCTCTCTCTCTCTCTCTCTCTCCACACACACACACACACACACACACACACACACACACACCACGCACTGGAAATCAATATCAAGAGCATGGACGTACAATTTGTACGATAGGTGAAACGGGAGACTGTGGATCATAGAGGTACACCATGGCATCGAGGCCACCAGTGGCAACTAAGCCCTGAGGAAATGCATCAGTTGGGTGTAGCCAAGCCACAGCATTAATATAACGGGCATGGTCGTGGAGCTCCGCAAGCGCCACAAAGTTTGAGGGCCCATCACGCCGCCAGATGCGAGCTGCGAATGAGAAAAAAAACACAGAGTAGTGAGAATCAGTGGCACTCAGATAAACATGTAAAATAAATAAAATTACTGCCAGCTACACAAAGAGGCTCACCAGTCAAGTCGCGAGATCCGGTGATCAGATGAGAACCATCAAAGCTGAAAGCAGAGGAGCGAATCTGAGAATGGCCCATCAACGCATGAGTAGAGACCAATTGCTGATCATGCATGACGTGGCGGCATTGCCGTGCTCACGTTCCCTGAAGAGAATCAAGCCAAAGCAACTTTACAACTAACATCAGCAGTATGTCCATGCAGCACTGCACTCAGTTGAAGTTGCGCTCCCTCTGCATTTGAAGTGGCCATCTCTCTGGTCCTCACCCGCCGTCCTTTGATGCTGGTCTTGCCTGTCAAGCAGTCCGAGCCGTGTCGCCTCCACGTCAAGCAACAACAAAATAAAATAAAAAAAAGCTCTCTCACTGCAAACTCACTGCGAGACGAGCGACACAGTGAATGGATTAAAAAATCTGACAAGTGGGTTTGGCATCATTAGCCGGTTGTCCTTTGGAACGGATAAGAGTTCTTGGGCGCAGAAAGAGCGTTGGTAGATCGATGGACGGACCGGTGAGGGGGGCAGGGGGGGCAGGGCAGGCAGGCAGATAGCTAGACAGGAAGACAGATGGACTGGTAGACTAGACTGCCAAACAGATGAGATTGCCAGACAGACTGCAGAAAGACCGACAGATGCAGTTCAAGGTGGCAAGTGGTTGGCAATCAGAGCATCACATCAGATTTGTGATCGGGAAAGTTGAGGTACAATTCAATTGGCGCATGGATACAGAAACGCAAGTCAAGCCCGGAGTAACAAGACAGCGAAGGAATGGGCACTCCACCACGGGCAAGAGTTGGTCAGCCAAAACAGGAGCAGCAAGTCAGAGCACAAGCGAGGTTTGCGGGTTACGCCAAACAAAGGTTTCATAATTAGCAACAGCACCGGTTGCTTCTGCGCGGTGGTTACACTAGACTTCGGGATCAATGCCCATGTACTCGAGCCATTGCTGCCAAGTGAGAGGATTGGTGTAAACGCCATCGCTGCCAATAAAGGCCGTGGGGCTGTTATACACGCCGCTATTGAGACCACGCTTGTACTCGTTGCGGGTGTTGACGCCGTTGGGGATGCAGGCAGCAGCCGTGGTGCTGCTGAGGAAATTGTGGGAGACA